ACAGCTAGAAGTACCCACAACTAAAATATACAACTATGTACTGGAGGGATTTGGGGAGAAAAAAAAAAAAAAGAAGATTGGCAACAGTTGTTAGCTCAGGTGCCAATCTTTAAGAACAACAACAAAAAAAAACATAGACTGTAGTACTAAGACTTAGGTGCTAGGAAAACTCAGATTTGGGATCTAGTCTCCATCCTCCTGCAGCACCTGCATCCCCATCATTGTCATTACCACCATCATCATATCACCTCCACTATAACCTCTGTTACGCCGACCATGATCATACCCACTGTGACTAACACCACGATGCAATTATCATCACCACCACTAACAGCATCCTCGCCGTCGCCCCCCGTACCAATGCCACCATTGCCACCATAATTACCACATCCCACCATCAACATCACCACAACTACCGCTTCCACCGTTACCATCATCACCACTATCATCCTTGCTACCACCACCATTACTACCCCATCACCACCACCACCAAAATCACTGCTACTACCACTTCCACCATCACCACCACCATAATTGTCACCACCACCACCATCACCGCCGCCATGAGCAATTATGAAGTGCCCTCAGGCAAGTCCCGTCAGCTCTCTAGATTCTTTGCTTGCATCTTAGGCTTGTTTGCCTATTTTTAATTAGCCCTCTACTTGACCCCGTAAAGAGTTTTAACAGTCTTTCCTTATTTCATTCCTACCAAGGACCCAGTGGACTTATGGGCATTCAGTTCCGGGTGTCAGCAGCTGAATATGCACTAAATTTTTCATTTGTATTAAAATTCTCTGTAGTCCGTAACTTGGGAACTTCTCTGTTAAAAAGTTTTCCCTCTCAGGTTCTGAGTTTCTAAGACCAGTTTTCTTGGAAGATTGAACCACACAAATGCACTCAAGAAAGGATGGGAGAGAAGCCAGCACCACAAAGATGGTTTCCCGAGCCCAGCGCTTGGGCAGCTCAGTCTTATAAGCAAAGTCCTCCCCCAAAGAATCTGGGCCGGCTTTGATTTTTCTGGACTCCATCCTTGACCTGTTGCCTCATAGCGGAGCGTGTTTCTGAGAGACGCGATCAAGACATTCCACTGAGTTATACTACATCCAAATATCAGACGATGCCTTTGAACCCCTCCGACAAACCACAAACTTAGGAACCGACATTGACACGACACTCAGCGGATTGAAAACACTGGTCAGCGGAAGAAGGGGAGGGTGTGGGCAAAGGCTCTTTGATTAAATGTGTTTCTTTCTCTTTGTTCTCTAATGGGGTCTCAAGGTACCGCCTAGCAACTTCGAAGTTCACGGGCTTGCTTTCTGAAGAGAGTCTCTATCAGGGTCCCTCAGAAGTTTCCAGCCAAGAGCAATATGAGAGACGTGTTATTGGTTTGAATCACCAAGCGTTGCAATGGCTAAACAAACAAGAAAAGGAAGGCATAGAGGAGAAACGTCTCCTGAGAAAGAAAGGGACGTGAAGGCAATCTAAGGATTCGCAGTCAAAACATCTCGTGCTCCAAAGAATCGGCCTTATCTTTGCACAGACTCTCTTCGCAGGACTGACTGTCTAACTTCCATGCCACATTTTTAGTCCCTCCACACTGGTTTTAGTTTTTGCCAAGATGGATGTCGGGTCCGAATTAAAACCAGAGTCATTTATCTCTGCCAGAGCATTTTCTTCTTCTCCACGACGGAGAGTTATGAAGATAGGTGCCTTTTAATCGGAATGTGCCCCTTCCAAAGTTATCAGGCCCCTGTGGTTTGCTGATAACCAAAGAGACTCAACCTCAGAGGGGCAGAAGCCCCTTGAGGATAAATGAGGAGACCATTAAAAAGAAGACATATGGCTTTGCAGCCAAGGGGGAGAGAAGGAAGCGGTGTTCTGATGCAGCGTGATTCTGTTTGCTAGTAAAAGGGGCTTTCAAAAGGTTGCGCTCCCCAATTTTCCAAATCTTCGCTCAACCGCCTTTATTTGTACCTGTTCTTTAGGCCTAATCTTGGGGGAAAATATCAGAATTCCAGGTACCTTTTCAGTTAAGGAAAAAAAGCTAGAAGGAAACCCTGCCATTTGTAACAACGTGAATGGACCTTGAGGGCATTATGCTGAGTGAAATAAGTCAGACAGAGAAAGACGAATACTGTATGATCTCACTTATATGTGGAATCTAAAAAAAAATCCGGACTCACAGATACAGAGAACAGATTAGTGGTTGCCAGAGGTGGGAGTGGCGGGTGGGGGAAATGGGTGAAAGGAGTCAAAAGGGGAAACTTCCAGTCGCCAGATAAATAAATCCTGGGGCTGTCATGTACAGTAGGGTGACTAAGATTAACAATACTATATTGTATATTTGAAAGTTGCTAAGGGAGTAGATCTTAAAAGTTCTCATCACAGGAAAAGAACCCTGTTGACTATGCGAGGTGACAGATGTCAACTCAACTTAAAGTGGTGATCATTTTGCAATATATACATGTATCAAATCGTTATATTGTATGCCTAAAACTAACACCATGTTACACGTCCATTATATCTCAATTCAAAGGGAAATATATTACAAACTGGAAAAACAATATGTTAAAACAAAAGCTAGGAAGCAATTTCGAGCCTGTGACTAATTTCTTCCTCTCCCCTCTGCTCACAGAGGACATGGATTCTCTCTGAAGCCAGAGTCTGACTCTGAAACCTTGTCGGTAGGAGACCCAGCCTCTGCCCAGAGAGTCTACACTGATTGGAGGAATAGGATAAACAGCAGAGGATATTTCTGTCCTCTGAGGTGAAGCAAGGTGTGCATTTTATCGAGGGACACAGGACAAGGCTCTTATGAATGGCGATCAGCAAACCCACATGGTGGGGACCTAGAAAGGATCCGACTCATGGAATCCATTACTGTGCACCGCCCACCTCTCAGCTCCTAGGAGCCCTGGGATGTGTAGCTGCTTTTTGGAGTCCAAGACCCGGAGCATCATCTGGGTCTGCCTCATGTATGCTGCTTGCTGTTTCATATTAATTACTAATAATTACAGACTACTGCGGTTACAGGCGCTCTGATATTCGGCAACACGTTAGGGTGTCCATGTTATTAAATGCCTTCGACATGAGGGAAACAAAAGCCAAGGGGGCCTCATCAGAAGCCAAGTGAAGCAGAGTGAGGAAATCCATGAGTGGCATGTCACTCAGTGATGAATCTGACTCACCAGAAATGGAAAAATAATTAAGAACAAAAAAACACATTATTTTGAGCAAAGTTTGTCTTTTCCCGCCCTTATGCCCAGAGACTTTCTCTCATGGTTAAAGCTACTAGCTGTTTCACAGAATATTAAGGTTCTCAGGATTTGGAGGATGGAGAACCCGTCCCAGCAAGGATTCTGGAAGCTTCGGGCCACGGCCCTGGATGGAGACGAACCGACTCCGGTGGAGCTGGTACTGGCTGGACAGATGTATCGTTACTGCCCTCTAGTGGCCAAAGCTTGGCTGAACTTTAAAAGAGATTTTTCGCTCTGAGCTGGGTGTTGAGTGCTTTTGAAAAGCTATTTTGTAACTTGTCTGTTGCCTTGGTGCTGCGGGAATGGCTTTCCCCTCCACGACTCTGGTTCTTTCATTGTCCGCTGTTTCGGATCCTTTTGGGGGAGAGGCTGAGTGTGAGCTAAGTGACAATTTTTGAAAATGGCAAATTGCAATTTTTCTGAGAACATCTTTTCACCTCCAAAGTAGACCATTCTTCGCCTGCACAATTTCCTCTTGACTGCTTATATCCGAAAGCAACATCTTCATTTTATAAATGTCTTTTATTGCCCACGTTTCTTGGGCAAAATCACTTTTTGTCTTCATGCTAGTTGTGTGCCTTGCAAAGGCTCTAAAAATCAAGCAATTCCCTTTGATTTGGAAATTCCACTTCCGGAAATTTTAGGTAATCGCTATGGATCTGAGCAAGACTGAGGAGAAGCTATTTGTTGAAGGATTCTTCATAGCAAAGAGAAAAAACTTACAAACCCCCTACATGTCCGATGAGACAGAATTTGATAAATTATAGTTCAACCAACTGCTGAAGTGAGATGTTATGATTAAGAATGATAGGTTTGGGGCCGGCCCTGTGGCCGAGTGGTTAAGTTTGTGCCCTCAGCTTCGGCCACCCAGGGTTCGCTGGTTCGGATCCTGGGCACAGAGCTACACAGCACTCATCAAGCCACTCTGTGGTGGCGTCCCACATAGAAGAGCTAGAAGGACTTACAACTAGGATATACAACTATGTCCTGGGGCTTTGGGGAGAAACAAAAAAGAAGATTGGCAACAGATGTTAGGTCAGGGCCAATCTTCCTCACCAAAAAAAAAAAAGGAAAAGAATGACATATTATAGTTCAGAAGATCCTTTTTGCTAACAGATAGGGACACTAAGTTCTGGAGGAGGTGACTTTTTTTGCATCTCACACAAAACGTGGGTGATGGTTTTGTGGATGTTCACTTTGGGATGTCGTTGAGCTGCACGTTTTCTAAATGTCTGTAGATTGCGTAATTTTAAAAGATTTTTTTTTTTAAAGCAGACATCCTAACCCCTAATTTAACACTCTTTCTCCGACACTATTCTGCTCCCAGCAAGAAAGGTTGAAGTACGAAAGAGGAAGATGTGGAATCGTGGCCTCTTGTAACTCGATTTAAAAATTGCATTCAGAACATGATGAGAATAGATTTGCTTACAAATGACTTTCTCTTTGGTGAGTCGGAAGACAGCGTGAAACGCCCCTCAACAGAAATCCACAACTTGTTAGAGACGTGGAAACAATACATTTAAAATGCTTGGCTCCCTGGAGATCGGAGGGTCTCCGTGAATCTCACAAACTCATATTTCCTTATGGCCATAAGAACTGTGACTTGCCAGATCTTTTGCTTTAAAAAAAAAAAAAACCATAGAATATTTAGAGAAACACAGTTTGCCTAAATGTCAGAGGTAACTTACAACTCTTCTCCTCTCTATTTCCTTGTCGGAAGCAGAGAAAGGATGAGCCCGTTTTGAGTCACACTGAATAAGTATTTATTTTGTGTCCATCATCTTGAGACAATAGTGAAAAACAGCTCAGCCCCAGACATCAGGGTGCCCTGGATCTGGCCGGGAGGAAATTTTCCATCTATGAAAAAAAAAATAGAGACCAACATAAGACAAGTGAATGCACTGTGATACGTGAAACACAATCAAGTACGAGAAACTTTGTCAGACTGATATGGATATATGTCCATATCATATATAAAGACAAGTGAGTTGAATCTCTACAGCTTAGTTTCCCTCTCTATAAAATGGGAGCAATATTAGTACCTGCCAATGTAAAAAATTAAATAAGAAAATACAGGGGCCGGTCTCGTGGCTGAGTGGTTAAGTTCATGCAGCCCGGATTTCGCCGGTTCCGATCCTGGACACAGACCCAGCACTGCTCATCAGGCCATGCTGAGGCAGCGTCCCACACAGCACAACCAGAAGGACCTGCAACTAGAATACACACAACTATGTCCGGGGGGGCTTTGGGGAGAAGAAGAAGAAGGAAAAAGAAGACTGGCAACAGATGTTAGCACAGATACCCATCTTTAAAACAAAAAAAAAAAACAGTTTAAAAGAAAATGCACATTGCTAGAACGTTAAATGCTCAAATCTGTTCATAGAATACTAATTATTATCATTAGTGAATATCTTTGAGCCTGGCCAACCAGAGAGCTCGAGGGGAACTGCTCAATCTGTGCATCAGGTCAGGTGTGCCCGTGCTAACTTTGGGAAATGGCTTCTCCAGCTGAGAAATAACCAAGATGCCTGAGAAATCCTTTCCACAACCTTTGCCAGTTTCTCTCAGTAGATGGCGCCCTTGAGACCTTCGCCCACAGGGAGTCTTTTTTTTTTTTTTTTTTCCCATCCCTGGGGAAAAGAACTGGTTTTTGTGCCAAGTACAAGTTTGGAGGACAAGATATCCAATTCCTAAAGATCTTAATTTCCTAACCCTGTCAGCACAGAATGTATTGCTTAAGAAACGCGGCCACGAATAAGTGAGCGGGAGGCAGGAAGCTCTGCTCTGCCTTGTCAAATGTCAGGCCACTTGGGGGTCTTAGTCATCTTCTCTACTTCCCTTTGCAAGGCTGTGCAGTCTTGAAGAGGACACACAGGCCCTGGTGCCTGGAGATCTGGCTTTGAATCCTGGCTCTGACTCCAGCTTGCTGTGTGACCGCAGATCTCGCTTGCCCCCACGTATCAAACAGAGAGAGAACGCCAGAAAAGCTCAAACCTTGGATGGCGAAACGAAAGCTGCTGTTGAAGGACTTACGCTTTTCTCAGCACTTTATCTGTGTTATCACTTTTAATCTTACACAACCCTATGATACTATTAGTATTGTTAGCGACCTCAGGTCATAGATGAGGAAACTGAGGCACGGTGCAATTACTTGCCCGGGGTCACACTTCTAAATAAATGACAGAGCCAACCTTTGACCCAGGCAGTGTGGCTCCACAGCTCACGCTCCTAGCTGCTGTTCTGTTCCACCTTCCTATCTGTGAGATTGGAACATTCACCACTCTATCCCCAGCCTGGATCTAGGACCTGGTACAGAGTAGGTCAGTGAGAAGAATACAAAAACTTGGATATCCATCACTTAAGAGTGTGAGAAAATTAGATTTTCATCTAGATAACAGCATCTTAAAGAATATTGGGGCTGGTTGAATCTTTAGGAGTCAGTTTATCTAGATGCCTAATTTTCAAATGGGGAAATTGCCACCCTGTAGGGGTTTTAAAAAATAGCTATAGATTATTTGATACTAGCTCATAGAGAAATGGGGTCAGTGTTCCCTCCCCTTGCATCTGGGCTGACTTCAGTGACTTGCTTAAAACCCATGGAATATGGTGGAAGTGAGGCTGTGTGGTTTTTTTGAGGCTGGGTCATAAAAGTAGAAGCAGCTCCCACCTTATTTGCTGGAACATTCTTCCTTGGACCCTGAGCTGCCATATCAGAAGCACAGCTTCCCTAAGACTCCTGTGCTGGTCAGATCACGTGGAGATGCTCTGGTTGCAACCAGCTGGGCGGGTGACAGCCAGCCAGCCACGCGAGTGAGCCATTTTGGATGTCCAACCTAATTGTACCATCCCATGCCTGAGCTTTGATCAACGTCTGACTGCAACCACATGAGGGACCCCAAGCCAGAAGCACCCAAATGAGCCTTTCCTGTTTCCCAGCCCACAGAACCGAGAGCAACATAAAATGGTTTGCTTTAAGCCACGAAGTGCCAGGCTACTTTGTTACACACCAGTAGTAACTACAACACACCCAGGGAGGGGAGGGGACTAGCCCAAGACATCCTCGGAAGTGGCAAGACCAGGGCTAGAACCCAGCTCTCCTGACCCTCAGCCAGCGTTCTCCCATGCCAAGCTGAGCCTGTTTCCCAAGCCATCTGGAGATGCTTCCCCAGGAATTATTCCAATCAGGAGGGGAGGTGACAAACTCTCTAACAGACTTCTGTGCACGACGCCAGGGAACACAGAAGAAAAGTCACACGCCAGGGAGAAGAGACAAATGGCCCATGCAGAAGAATTCCAAATAACTTATGCAGATACTCTGCCGACAAGGCAGTGGAACAAAGCTCCCATCCCTTAGGTGTGGCCTGGGCAGAGTGACTTTCTTCCAAAGACGACAGTGTGGACGGGGGAACAAAGACTAACTTTACAGTGGAGAAACTGACAAATAGTACCTCGGCCCATGGGAGGTCACGCAGGGACCCTTGAGAGGAGGTGACGTCAGTGGTACTTCCTCTCTGTGGTCTTCCTCCCCAGAACCCATCACCCCAGTTAATCGTGAGAGAAACGTCAGCAAAATCTCGAAGGAGGCACCTGATCAGAACTCCTCAAAGCTGTCAAGGTCATCAAAAACAAGGAAAGTCTGAGAAGGTGTCACAGCCAAGAGGAGCCGAAGGAGACGTGACAACTAAATGTCTTGTGGTGTCCTGGATGGGATCTTGGGACCCAAAGGGACATTATGTAAAAGCTAAAGGAAGCTGAGTAAAGTCTGGCCTTTAGTCAAGAAGATTGGATCAGTATTGGTTCACTGGCTGTGGCAAATGTGCAGAGTCATGAAAGATCTTAACAGGAGAAGCAGGGTGTGGGGGATAAGGGAGCTCTCCGAGCTCTCCGCGACGTTTCTATATCTCAAAGTATTCTAGACACAAAGTTTATCAAAGAGAAATGCATGTGTCGGGCTGGCTCCTGGCTGTGTGAGGGGGCCCTCCTTACGTCTCCACAGGGCGCCCACCTCGTCCGCGTCTCCACAGGGCGCCCACCTCGTCCGCGTCTCCACAGGGCGCCCACCTCGTCCTCGTCTCTATAGGGTGCCCACCTCGTCTGCGTCTCCATAGGGTGACCACTTTGCTCATATCTATTTGGCTTACCCTTGTCCTTCCAAGCCCTCCACCATAGGGTGTGGCCCTTCTCTGCCAAGGCATGAGAGAGCACAAGATCACAGGGCACCCCAGCCCTGCCGCTTACTGGCTCTAAGCTCTTGGGTGCATCGCCCAGCCTCTCCTGGTCTGTAAAATGCAGAAACCTCTCTCCCACACTCAATTTATTGGTTTAAACAAACCAACGGGGTAAAGAATTTTGAAGAGCACCAAAGAACTTTGTTTCTATAACAAGGATGATTGACATAAAGCATTTTTAAATATGCAGTTTCCTAATGTGTACGCTCATTTAGGTAATTTGACATAAATTCGTGGTGCGGTCCTATACATACTTTGCATGCATGTGTGTATTTTGCCTTCTTTTCGTTTTTTATCCAGGAATCTGGCCAACTTGTACCCCATTACTGTGTGACCTTGAATAAGTTAATCAGGCTCTCTGAGCCTTATTTTCTCACCTGTGTGATGGAAATCTAAACGTCCATTGAAATACTTAATTCAAATCTACCTTGGTAATTGCCTCACTGGTTAATAAGATGATTAAATGAGGTGATCTATGCAATTTGCTAAGTACACAGTCTGATGGATGGCAAGCACTCAATAGATGGTTCTTGTGGTGATAAAAACAATACTACTACCAATAATAATTACCAATGTTTGGGGCAGTTACTGTGTATCAGGCACATTGTAAACGCTTCATCTTTATTAACTCACGTCATCTTCCCAATAAATCTGAGAGATGAGAAGTATTATGATCTCCATTTAACAGGTAAGGAAACAGGATCAGAGAGGTTAAGACACCTGCTTAAGGTCACACAGCCAGGAAGCAGCAGCAGTGATGTGAGTGCCTAGCCCAGTGCCTGGCACCTAGGTGCTCAACCACAGCCAGCCTCCTTCTCCTCCGTCGATTCTGTTCAAACCTCCCAGGCCCCTGCGTGCCTGGAGGTGGCCTTGGAGTTTACCTTTGAATGCCAACTCCTAGCTGTGTGGCCTTAGGCCAGTTACTGAACCTCTCTATGTCTGGAAAATGGGCAGTATACTGAAGTATAATGAAGCGTTTACAACGTGCCTGATACACAGTAACTGCCCCAAACATTGGTAATTATTATTAGTAGTAGTATTGTTAGTACCTACCTCAGAGAGTGTTACCAGATTTTAAAGAGTCACGGATGGAAGGGGAGGTCACTCAGCACAGTGCCTGGCACCCAGTTCGTTCTCCAAAATGTAAAGGATGACGATGACGATGACGACGGTGATGGTTTTATGCTGCTCACCTTCTCGGCCCATGGAAAGCCATCGACTCCAGCCGTCAGAGGGCCGCAGTAGTTTGTCTCAGAAATCAAAGCTCCTTCAACTGAAACACTTCATTTCAACGTTTGCCCACACCGACTGAAAACGCTGCTGACTGTCTTTTCACGTCCTGTTTAGTCTGTCCTGGGAAGCTGGATGGCCGCTCGGCTGGGGTGGCTTAGAAGGGAATCAAGAAATGGAGATGAGAGCTGCGTGTGTATAAACACACCCATTCACGTGTATACACACACACTCATGTGAATGCTCTCTCACACACAACAAATGGTACTGTCAACATTTGTCTAAAGTGTGAGTCTGCTTAAAAGAGCTTTTACGCCCTAGTTCAATGGTCTATCCATTTAACGTTCCTCACTAAAGTTTGAGATAGACATCAAAATTGGGGTGTTTTTCTTTTCTTTTAAAAATATATCTTTATTACATTTATTTCCTGATTAAAAGATTGACATGTGCTCATTTCAAAAAGTTATAACACACAGAAATACATCACGTAGAGAGAAGCGTGAGTGTCTCAAAACCCCCGACTTCGCCAGCCCACCCCCTCAAAATCCCCACAGCGGGCAGTCTGTGGCATGTTCCAGAGAAGATGTGTGTAACGGCAGACAGAAGATGGGGGAGATTTAGACCAGACGGATGTGAATGAGGTAAAATGTTGAGACTGAATATCAGGGCCTCTTCTGTGCAATTTCAGAAAAAATTGATCCCTGCCAACATGGAGCTTATGTTCTAGTAAGAGAGAGAGCGACATTAAATAAAGAATTCTGTATATATATAAATATATAAAAATTACACATACAGTTATATATAATATGTAACATATATAATATATGTATTATATATAACTATATGTATAACATATATTATTTTTATTTTTGAAGAAGGTTAGCCCTGAGCTAACTGCTGCCAGTCCTCCTCTTTTTGCTGAGGAAGACTGGCCCTGAGCTAACATCCATGCCCATCTTCCTCTGCTTTATATGTGGGACGCCTACCACACCATGGCGTGCCAAGCAGTGCCATGTCTGCACCCGGGATCCAAGAAGCGGAACGTGCGAACTTAACTGCTGTGCCACCGGGCCAGCCCCCTATGTATTATATTTGACAATATGTATAATATAGAACAATAAAAACGTATATACACACAGTAGGTCGCAATCCAGGCTGTTTGCCTCCAGGGGACCATCAGCAATGTCTGGAGACCTTTTGATTGTCGCAGCTGAAGGGAGAGGGAGGTCGTCCTGGCATCTAGTGAGGAGAGGCCAGCGATGCTGCACAGCATCTTAAATGCTCAGGACAGTCCTCACCTCAAAGAATTATCCAGCCCAAAGTGTCAGATAGTCCCAGGTACACAGAGCTAGGAGACTATGTCACTGAAAGCTGTGTTTCTTATGAGGACACTTTCGAAAAGATAAAGCCACAAATCTTAGTGGTTGACTCAACAGAGACTATTTCTTGCTCATATGAATTCCGATAATTAATTCATTGACGAGTTAATCCTCTGATGAATTATTAAGAGCAGATCTCACAGAAGAGGGATTGGAACCTCTCGGCTTTGCCCTCCACCCCAAGATTAAGCAGTGGTGTAAACTCCAATGGTTAGGTTTGAGGCCCCGGAACGGGAACAAACACAGGCATTGAGATCGCCTTGGTTCATGTCCCCAAACTGAGGTGGCTCCTTTTTTTTTTTTTTTTGCTTGGGAAGATTCGCCCTGAGATAACATCTTTTCCCAATCTTCCTCTCTTTTTTTTTTTCCTCCCCAAAGTCCCAGTACATAGTTGTGTGCAGTTATAAGTCCTTCTAGTTCTTCTTTGTGAGCCACCGCCACTGCATGGCTACTGACAGACGAGTGGTGTGGTTCTGTGCTGAGGATCTGAACCCTGGCTGCCGATGCCAAGCCTGTCGAACTTTAAGCGCTGGGCCCTCAGAGCTGGTTCAGGAGGTGGCTTTTCCTAATCAATGCCGCACATCGGAACCACCCAGGGAGCAATTTCAAATGCATGGGTCTGGGATCCCACCCAAGATTCTCTGAGGAGGAAGCCCCTATGAATGCGCTGTCTCAGTCTGGGTTTCTTGGAAAGTGCAGGCTGAAACAAAGATGCAGTAGACCCTGCAGCAAAGGTAGGTTGGCTGGTTATCTCAGCAAGCAAATGAGGGAGTGGGCGAGCAAAACGGAGAAGGGAGAAAAGTCAACAAAAAGTGTGTCAATAAGCTACTCACCCAGGGGGCACTGTTGACTCGATCCCTCTGGGGGCCTTGGGGAATTGTGGAGAATTTTCCTCCTGGAGGACAGGAAACCTGGGCGGTGTGTACCTACTCCCGTCCTCCACTGGGTGAGGCTTGTCCTCCTGGCGTTCACTTCCTGCGGCTCCTGGCTTCTTGGAGAAAGCAAAGCAGAAAACACGGCAGTGCGCGCTTGAGATGGGAAACGGACGAGAGCTGTTCCCACAGCCAGGCTTCAATCGGATGAACTAAGGGGTGGCCGAGCCCTACACGCATTTCCTTTGGAAATTAACAGCCTCTCAAGCTCTTAGCTTCTTCCCGTGCCCGTCAGAAGGGCCGTCTCACTGTAGACGGTGGTGCTTGAAGACTCCCGGATTCAAAGACAATCAGATCTGGAGCCGGCCACTTCCTTAACTTTCTCACTTACAAGATAAGGACCAGAATAGCACCCACCTTGTAGGGCTATTGGGAGAATCAAATGGGATACTGCATCTGAAGTGCCCAGTACTGTGCCTGGCACAGAGTGGGAACCCAATAAGAGGTGGCCATTGTCATCGATATAGTACTATGTATTACAATTGTTATTATAATAGAGTCGCAGGTCCAATGCTGTACTGATGGGGACAAGCCTCCTAAAAGTGGCTGAACTTGTAGTCTCTGGTGTCTCCTGATTTAAGCTGAAGGAATTTCAATTTTCAAAATAAAGTGTTGGATTATCATTTGGATAAATTTTTTATTCTGGAATAATTTCAGATGTGCTAGAACAGTTGCAAAGATCGTATAGAGTTCTGGCCTGCTCTTCACCCGGTTTCTCCTAAGGTTAGCATCGTCCATTACTGCAGAACGTTTATCGAAACTAAGAAAGGAACAGCGGTCCGGTCCTGGTAATTACACTACAGACTTTATTCCCATTTCACCAGTCGTCATGCTAACGCCCTTTTTCTGTTCCAAGATCCAAACCAGGATATCATGTGGCATTTAAGGATTCCTTAAATATTTTGACATCTCTTGGTAGAGCTTACAAGTTCGCAGTTATACCAAGCATCTGACAAATCCTCATTTCTGCTCCACCAAAGATGGTGAAACAAGAGGCATTGTTTATAAGAGTGAACAACTGGAAACAATATAATGATTCAACAGTGAACGACTCGGTTTGTAAATACAGTCCCTCCACATTATGGCATATTACACAGTCGTTTAAAATGGTGTTGAGAAAGCATGTTCATTGATATGGAAAGAATTAATAATATATTATTGTATGGATAAAAGAGATTACAAGACAGCGTTACAGCATGATTTCAGGTTTTTTGTTCTTTTTTACAAATGTGCGTAAAAAAGTGGGGCAGGAAATTTACCAAAACTTTAACTGTGTCACACTTGCTATTACAAAGTTACAAGTGATTTTATTTTGTGCTCTTTTCTTGGCTCTTTTTTTAAAATATATATATCCATGGCATAAACACCCTGCCTACTGTTTTAAACTTTAAAGAGAGAAGTGAAATTGCACAGCAAGCTGGAGATGATATGAAGATGATAAGGGCTGTGGCCCGGGTCTCTCTGTGTAAGATCAGCTCGTTGTTCCCAAGCAGTTACGTTACAAGCTATATAAAAAGCTTCCATTAAAAAACATTCTTTAAAAAAGATGTAAGAAACTGTTTAAAATGGAAGCAGAATCTCCAAGCTCTTGACTATTCAACAATTGCTTTCAAATCTGCCTTCTGGGAGGTTTGAAGGGAGAGCAAGGGGGAGGTGAGAGACAAAGGGGATTGTCCAGACACAGAGCTGAGACGTGCTGAGGAAATGGGGTGGAATCTGAGAGACGCTCAAGGAGAGAATGCTGAGCAGAACTCCTGCCTTGGGGAAAAATATCTGTCTCCCCAACAACACCCCATCTAAACCATAATTCATGTCCCAAAAGGCAGTTCTAATGGTTCGCTCCCCTTTCCTGTCTAGTATCGTAGGTCCCACTGTTTGCACAATCAAATGCTGAACCTTCATTCAGAGAGTTTACCAAACACTCGGGATGGCAACTTAAGAGGAGCCGAGACATAAATGCTTAATGGGGTTTTCTTTTTATTATTTATAACTTGCTCAGTAGTTCTCTGAAGTGATTAACAAGAAGTCCTGGCATCTATCTATGAAGATAAAATGTCTTTATATTTCTGCATCCAAAATAAACAGCAGTCTTTTCTCTCACTGGGAAGGCAAGAAATGAAAGGCATTTCTGTCTTTAAAAAATCACCTTTTCTTTGAGGAATGGGATATGGGAATTGAGGGGAAGGAGAATTGGGCAATAGAAAGAAAGAAGGAAAACTAAAGATAAGTTTTTCTTGCAGAGATAACCAAAGATGTTTTCTTTATAGCTCTAAAAGACCTGGGACTCCTGATTCTTCTCCAGGAAGAAATTCTCTCTCTGTCTCGCTGTCTCTGTTTCTGTCTCTGTCTCTCTGTTAGTTCTCTCCAGAGGCAGATAAAGTTATGCCTTGAAGGATCACGGGATTTTCTGTGCTATTAAGTGGGAACAGCTATATGAATTTCAATATATGAATTACATTTCTCTATGCTCCAACCAGGGTCTAAGAATCTTCCAATAACACTCTTATATTTTTGAATGGTTGTCAAAATTTCTTTCAAAGCTGAGGAAATCTTTCTTTGAATGAAATTTCTCAAACAAGACCAATATGTGTCATTGTTAAAACAAGAGCTGTTGACATACTAGGCAGCAATGAAAAAGAGCAAGCTATCACTATACCAAACAACCTAGATGGAGCTCAAGGGAATTATGCTGAGTGAAAAAGCTAATCTCCAAAGTTTACATAGTGCATGATTCCGTTTCTGTAACATTCTGAAATGACGAAATTATGGAGATTCGTGGTTGCTGGGGATTAGGGAGGGAGGGGCGGGGTGGCTGTAGCTGTTACAGGGTAGCCCGAGGGGTCCT